AAACAGCGTGAAAGGAACATTAGTTTCAATTTCGAGTGAAGGTGTGTTATGTGTAGGTTCTTCAAATATTTGCTCGAAGATACTGTCGTTAAATGTAAAATATGTGGTCCTTACTGTCAGGTTGAGTCGTGTTAACGACTCCTTCCGTATCCGTTCTGCCTCCAGGATATCCTCTTCTCGCTCCAATACCTCCATTAAGGCGCTTATCGCCTTCTCATCTGAGATGTTTGTGTAAATAGATTGTACATCAAAACTCACCAACAGTTCCGACCCCACTAACCCCATGTTCTGGATCTTTTGAGAAAATTCATATGAATTCTTGACGGTATTTGAGAGTCTGTCATTTACTTTCTTGAACTTCAAGCAAATGAATTTCGCTATTTTGTGTGTTGCTACATGTTTGTTGTTAACTCTTAATCTTATCGGATTTTTCTCCTTGTTTATTTTCGGTAGTCCGTAGGCTGTCGATGGTGGTCTTGCGTCATTTTTGATTAAAGATTTAATCATCCATTTGTCGATTCCCCCATTATTATGCATTTCCTTGAGTATATTCTTCAGTGTACCGTTGATCTTCGGGGTTGGATCCTTGGTTAATATTTGATAAGTGTTCCGGTCGCCAAGGATACTTTCCATTTTTTCCATGTACTGTTACCTATCCATTATATCAATCGCTTCTCCCTTATCCGCCTGAAGAACTATTTGATCATTCTTTTGTGATTGTTTTCGTATACCAGCCAATTTTCTCATGTGATTCGGTTCTTGATGTGTCTGGATTCGTGTGATTATTTCTATTCCCATCTCTAACTTTGTATCTTCTGGATATTTATCTGTTATGTTGACATCTTCCACCAGAATATCACTAAGAACGTTACCTTCATTACTTGGTGAAAAATGTAGCCCCTTTTTTAAGAGATCCGTAGTTTCCGAATCAAGAGGGATTAAAGATAGGTTTACAACCTTTGTCCTATCGTCGTCTGTGGCAGTTAATGCCTTCAATAAAGAACCATCAAAATTTGCCCGTGTTGGCTTGGTATTGCGCTGTCTCCTTATCACATAGCTAAGCAATTTCTTGTCATGCCGCTTATTTATCAGATCCCGAACCCTCTGTGACTTCTGGTGTGTCATGCTGTGGCGTTTTCGAAAATTATCCAAAGTGAGAAAACTACCAAGATCCTTACTTGACCTCTATGAACTTAAATAGCTTAAGCCTCTCAGTCTCGTAACTTTCCTTGTATTTCTGGATGGAGGCGTGATAAAGTGTTTCATTAACTGTGTCCGAATGACACTTCCTCATTAGATTGCAGAATCGGGGAAGGATACCATAATGCTTACAACAATTTAAAAAAGGCCAAGTGGCAGGATTGACTTACAATTGTCTTCTTTGTCTGGCTGTAATTCAAATCTGCAGACTGTAATTGTGATGGGACCGGAAATTGAGTATTATCCCAGCATAGGACTTCTTCCTAAACAATTTCTTCTTTAGCGTTCCATTAGAACGAATCACTTCAACGTTCAGGAACGGTAACCGCTCGCCGTGTGTGATGAGGCCACATTAGATTTGTCACAAATGGGCACACATTTTGACGAATGGAATGTAAACTAATGAGAAGTTGTGATAGGGCGGCAGTGGGATTAGAGGGTAAAGAGTAGATAGATAAGCCAGGACAGAAAGATGAGTGAAAGTGTAACCGTTTTCGGCAGAATGTTGGTCGAGGAATTGACTTCACTTGTCTCTGACGGGTTCGTAGCTTTGTGCGGCGAATGGCAAAACTCACTGATGATGCCGACTACGATGCCGGCGAAACGTTTGGGAATGTATCAA